ATCCAAGTAAAGTGAAAGTAGTTTAAAATTGGCCACGACCCACAAATGTCACTGAGATTCGGAGCTTCTTACGGCTTACGAGTTATTATCACCATTTTGTCAAAGACTTTTCAAAAATAGCTGCTCCGATGACAAGATTGACTTAGAAAAATGTAAAATTTGTTTGGGATGATGAGTGTGAAGAGAATTTCTAGAAATTGAAGGAATGTTTAACTTTTGCTCCAGTGTTAAGTCTGCCAACTAGAATAGGGGGTATGCTGTGTATTGTGATGCTTCTCGTATTGAGTTGGGTTGTGTATTGATGTAGAATGGTTGAGTAATTCCCTATGCCTTAAGAAAACTCAAGAAACATGAAATGAATTACCTACACATGATCTAGAGATGGCAACAGTTATTTTTGCTTTAAAGATTTGGCATCATTATTTGTATGGTGAAACTTATGAGATCTTTACAGATCATAAGAGCCTTAAATATATTTTCCAACAAAAATATCTTAATCTCTAATAGAGAAGGTAGATGGAATTGCTTAAGGATTATGACTTCATAATCCTATATCATCATGGTAAAGCTAATATTGTGGCCGACGCTTTGAGTAGGAAATCTATGGATAGTTTGGCACATTTAGCTATTGAAAGAAGGCCTCTGATACAAGAGATTCATAAAGTAGAGCAAAGTGGAGTTAAATTTTAGATTTTGGATAAAGGAGCATTTCCAGCTCACTTGCTTGCTCGTTCCTCTTTGATTGACCAAATTAAGAGTGCTCAACATTCTAATTTAAAATTATGCAAGTTGAGAGAGGCAGTCATGAAAGGGAGTAGTACTAATTTTACAATTGATCAAGATGGAATACTAAGATATAATGATAGGATTTGTGTATCCTAAATGGGAGACTTGAGACGGCTTATATTGGAACAAGCTCATAATTCTGCATATACTGTCCACCTAAGATCAACAAAGATGTATCAAGACTTGAAGAAATTGTATTGGTGGGATGGCATGAAGAAAGACATAGCTGATTTTGTTTCACATTGTTTAGTATGTTAGCAAGTTAAAGCAGAGCTCAAAAGCCAATAGGATTACACCATACCAGAATGGAAATAGGAAAATATCATGATAGATTTTGTTACTGGGTTACCTCGTACTATTAAAGGATATGACTCCATTTGGATGATAGTTGATAGATTGACTAAGTGAGCACATTTCCTTCTAGTAAAGACAACCTATAATGTAAATAAGTATGGTCAATTGTATATTAATGAAATTGTTCGATTGCATGGAGTTTCAATGTCTATAATTTCATATAGAGGTCCTCAGTTCACCTCTCAATTTTGGAGGTCATTTCAATAAGTGTTGGGTACTCGTTTGGATCTTAGCACTACATTTCATCCGCAAACTGACAGTCAATCAGAAAGGACTATTCAAATTTTGGAAGATATATTGAGATCTTGTATTCTAGACTTTAGGGGAAGTTGGGATCATTACTTAGCATTAGTGGAATTTGCTTATAATAACAATTATCAGGCTAGAATACAAATGGCTCAATATAAGGCGTTATACGACAAATAGTACAGATCTCCTATTGGTTGGTTTGATATTGGTGATGCTAGAATTTTGGGACCTGATCTTGTACAAGATGCCATTGAAAAAGTGAAGGTGATTAGAGAAAGATTGTAAATAGCTCCAAGTCGACAAAAATCCTATGTTGATAATTGATGTCAGGATTTAGAGTTCATGATCGGGGATAAAGTGTTTCTTATGGTGTCTCCAATGAAAGGCATAATGAGATTTGGAAGGAAAGTTAAGTTAAGCCTAAGATACATTGGTCTGTTTGAAATCTTAGAGCGAGTTGGTGCGGATGCTCATTGCTTAGCATTACCACTTGAGTTATCAAGTATTCATCCAGTGTTTCACATGTCAATACTATGAAAGTATTTATACGACCCTTCACATGTGATTGAGACTCAAGGAATTCAGATAGACTCACATTTATCACATGAAGAAGTTCTTGTAACCATTCTAGATAGGCAGGTAAGGAAGCTCAAATCGAAGGAGATTGCTTCTATAAAGGTATTATGGCGCAACCATTCTCAAGAAGAAGCTACATGGGAAATTGAAAGTGAAATGCATGCCAAATATCCACATTTGTTCGAAGGTTAAGGTAATGTATGTTCAAAATTTGAAGGATTGAATTTCTTAAGGGGGAGAATATAATAATCCCAAAATAATAAAAAAAATAATAGTAGTAGTAATAATAAAAATAAAAATAAAAAAATCTGGTGGGTATTATTTTGTAATTTTATCAAATCAGCTTGGGTCTTTTCCTATAATTTTCCCCCATTATCTTTTGACTTAAACCTTCTTCCTCTTTGTCGATAAAAAGGGATAAAACAGAGTGAATAAGAGACAGAGTAGAGAATTCTTTAAGCTTTCACTAACCTTCGCTCTCCATTCTTCTTCCTCTGTCATTCATCTCTATCAAGTCCTTTGTTTCTTTGGCTCGTCCTTTCTTTTTCTTCTCCATTTTGTTAGTCTGGGTAGGTGCAGTCATAAATATATATATATATATATACTGCTGCTGAAAGCTTGATAGAATCGTGATCTCCTCCTCCCTTCTTTCCGTTTGTGAAGGTTGAATAGTAGATTTGCTATTATTGGAGGTTTGCTTAATGATTATTTTCTCTTATTTTCTATGCTATTGATGTCTTCTTCAATTCTCTATTCCACCATGCTAAGTTAGCTAATTGAACTTTTCATTCTCTTCTTTGTGTTGCTGGTGTGTGTACTAAATATTAATATTTCTCTTGCTTTAGATGTCAAATTTTTAACTCTTTTCTTGTCCTTTTGATTTAGAGCTGTACGATTAAGGTGAGAGTTGTTTCTTTAATTAATATTAAATTGAAGGCTTGAATTTTGTTGCTGAACAAGGAAATTATGATATGAGTGTGTGTTATAATATTTATGTTAATACATGGCAAAGTATGATTAAGAAGTATAACTAGGATTATATAATAATAACAATGCAATTAGTTTGGCTAAGAATAGAAATGGAGGACTTGGGAGGCATAAAAGAGGATATATGAAAAATTGATTTAATTTGTAGAAAGATATATTAAAGTTTTATTATATCTAATAAGGATTCCAGAAGAGGAGAAACTTAATTGAAGTTGAGAGAAGAGAATTTTAGAAACTTGGCAGCATACCAAATAAGTAAATAACATTCTCTAAGATATAGAAGCAATGATCTTTCTTTTACCTTATTTATTTACTTTAATTATTCTGAATAGATTTTTTTAAAAAAAATTATATTAAGATTTAGTTCATTCATAGGTAATTAGTTTGATTATGATTCAACTTTAATCATGTAAGTATTTTCATAGTATTTTATTTTTAAAAATGTAGATATATATATATATATATATATCATACATGCACGGATCAGATAAATTACAAGTGAAAAGATCGTTTATATCTTTCAAATTAAAGAACAATTTGAATTACAAGAGTTTATAGATTCCATGTATACCAAAAATATTTTATAGGACTGAATATAGACTATTGGTTGCTAACGATAGTATCATTAGCCTTTGTCGTGCCATGGCACACCTAGTTAGCAGAGTACATTGGAGGTGCTAGCCTCGTGCATCGGCCAACACATGTGAAACGGAGGGTGTAATTTCGTGAACATAATCCATGCTTGTTATTCGTGAGCTTTATGCTTACACTTGTTTTTTCATGACTTCTAACCACATCGGATGTTATTTACCCTCGTGGACTATGTGTCCACGCTTGTTATTCGTTTTGTTTAAGTCCTAATAGAAAATAAGTTTTTCAAAGTCATATTCTTGCTCTTAATAATTGCAGTTTGTGATTTGTTTTATATAAAAAGTTCATCTCTAAATAATTGTTCACGATTCTCTACTTTCCCTTTTCTATTTTATTCACTCAATTATCAAGATTAAATTATATTATTATTTTCTAATACCTTCTATAATTAGATTAGTCTCTTATTTCCTATTGTATATTTATAATTATCATTTTGTTTATTATTATTATTATTATTATTATTATTATTATTATTATTATTATTATTATTATTTGGAAACGTTATTTACTGGAAGAATTTTTGGGTATTTAGATAATAGAAGTGTACTTGCTTTTCATTTGGTCTCGTGGGACTCCTTGAAACAAGGAATATTTTGTTGCTCCGTCCAGATTGTAGATTAATGTAAATATTTAAGTATTTTGATTTTGTTCTAGATTTGCTCCACGAATCTTATAAGTAGGATCCTTGATTAAATTATTCTAGGATTGTATATATATACTATATTGGAGTAGAATTTCAAATGCTGCATGGATATTCTTTTGATAGGTTGTAGAGATTTTGGATAGTCCAATTTACAGGAGAGACTCTGCAGAAATTTCTACAACAAGTTTAAATATTTTGTTAATACTAATAGTTGTTTAATATAATGACAATTATATGATGAGTTTGGGTAATTAATATGTCAAATATTATAGGGGTTTAGGCTTATGAAATATGAATTTTCTTATATTCTACCTGGTCACACTTTAAAAGTTCAGGGTGTGTGACAATATGATTCCTCAATTTTTGTGTGAAAAAAATCTATCATTCATGACTATCAACTAATTTATATCCAAATTCAAACATCGTCAAGCTTAAAACAAGGCTATTTTTCCAAGCTTAATTTTTACTGGTGGACAGTCATGTACACAATTTTAATTTCCCCATTAGAAGGACCATTTTGAATTGGCAAATATATTTAAGACTAAAAAAAAAAACAAAGCCAAAAAAAAAAGTTTTTGGAGTATCTATCTAGGAGTACTTATCTTTGGCAGACCAATTTGAGTGTCTTTTTTGGGGTACAAGTTGAGTTCCGATTTTATATGACAAAATTCAAGAGACAATGGTTTTTTTCCCCCCTCTTTTTTGATGGACAAAATTCTTCCTTTATTCACAATCTAATATGGTGAGAATAAAGAAATAGTATAGGAAATGGAGGAGATGATGATCAAGGACCTTAGATGCATGTGATACATAGAGATCCTGCAGCGCGAATGCAGGTATCAACGAGAGACAATTGCCTGCATAAATCATTAAATTTGGAGGAAGCTCTGCAATTGACTTCAATCTCCTGCAAGAACTCAAGTCTAAATATTTGAGATTTATTAAATGAATAATGGAGGATGGAACTTCGGTGATTGAAGTTTCTGCCACATCAAGGAAAAATAGACTTGTCATATTTTTACCAAACTCAGGGAGCATCTCAAGCTTTAAGCATCCTCCAAGAATAAACTGCTCTAGATTATTCATTTCCAAATAACTTGGAAGAGTTACAAGATTTCCACACTTCGCCAACCTCAACTCAACCAGCTTCTTCAACTGCCCAACAGATTCATGAACCCGAACCCGCTATGGCAATTATTAAGAAGCATCTTTTCAAGGTTTGGAGTTCCACTAAAATCTGGAGTTTCACTTAGATCTTCAGAACCACTTAAATCAATGATCCTCAACTTGCCTAAAAACTGACCGATATATAAGACACAAAACAACGGAGCAATATCAATATTTTGAAAGTCAAGAGGTAGGATATATATAGATAAACACACATATATTATTCAAGACTGTGGAAGAAAAGTATACCGGTGTCCCATTCCACAGTTTTCTGATTTTGCTACAACACAGTTGAAGGCTTTCAAGTTCATATAATTGATCAATTAATGGCAGACATTCCAAAGCATAATAAAGGAGTAGCTTTTGTAAGAAAACTAAGCCTTCCTTTTCTGAAACTTCCCTTACATCAGCAAGAAAACAAGCAGCATCAAACTTGCTTCGTATTGCCTCATAAACAACTTGAGCAAGAGTTGTCTTGCCTATGCCACCCAACGCCCATATCCCCATGAAGCATACTTCATCCAATCCTATTTTCAAAAGGGAGACTATCCTCTCTACCATCGATTGAATGTCCCCAACTAAATGTTCAAATTTTGATGGGATTACCTCGCATAATTTGTTCCATACAAATTTAGCGATGTCTTCAACAATTTCTGCTTCATGTCTGTGAAGATCAAATTATTAATGTTTTGGTAAGTTAAAAATACATGGCAATAAAAATCAAGGAAAGGATACAAAGGATTTGAAAAGAAGCACATTTTTCTTTCTTAGCAACTACAGAAATTACACTTTCATTTAGTGTTATATTTTTACCTGATTGATTGCTACAGGGTTAAGTTAATCATCCAGACACCTTCTATAATCACATAGAATAACTCCAAATACTTTTAGATTAATAATAAGTATTAAAAAAACCGGGATGAAATGTCCAGTAAGTGTCATTTTGCAACATTCCTGTATTGTCCAATGTATTTCAATATTATTTTCCCTAAATCATGAAGTCTCGACAGACTTATTCAAATTTACAACTATTAGTACTTGACATCTTCACTACTTGCAAAAGTTATAATAGTCAACTTTGTTAAGCTTTTAATTATGTTGATGTAATACAAACCTTCATTTTACTTTTAAAGTATGTTTGCATTTTGAAAATCAAGGGCCTAAAATCATACTTACCTTCATTTAGAATCCCAACCAAAAGGGAAAAAAAGGACGAAAAGAGATAAAAGACAATATAAATATTAGAGATTGAATCTTACTTATTTCTTGTATACCAACCAGATAACTAGGCATTTGGCAACCTTGGTCAAAGCTTCCCTCCATCTTCGCACTTTATAATATGAAAATCTTACTTCATGCTTCTCAAAAGCTGTTGCAACCAGATTTTCTTGGTGTCGAATAATAGATGGGTCTACACCATAAAAAACTGGGACAACTATTTGGCCGAGGTCTTGTCTGGATGCCATGATCTTCTCCAATTCCTCCAAACACCATGAAGAAGAAGCACAATTTTGAGAGAGGACAACAATGGAAAACATAGATTGCTCTATAGCTTGGAGGAGTTCCTCTGAAATAACTCCTCCTCTTCTAAGTTCATCATCTCTAAAAGTGACAATTCCTTACCGCACCAACGCAGAATTCAAATGATCAGTAAAGTTCGTGCGAGTATCTGTTCCCCTAAAACTCAAGAAAACATGATAATTCACGGGGGAGGTCGAACGAGTGTAAGGACCTGCAGCACTAATGTGTGACATTGAAGACTCTAAGGATCCGTTTGGTTTAAGGAAAATAGGATGAAGAAAAGGGACGTGGCTTGTTTGGTTGTTCCAGGAAAGTTACTCTGCACTTTCCTCTGGAAGCCTAAAATCCCTCAAATCACGATGGGGGGAAAAAGGCTCTGCGTGGAAAAACGTTGTAAAAAAGATGAATTCGTCCCTGAAATAAAAGCTCTCATACGACTAAAAATCAGTTTCTCACAAGATCTTTGCGTGCTCGATATAATCAAAGTCTTCGATTCGAATTTGTTGCCGCCAGCTCAATTCACGAAAACCATTCTCAGAGACGACGACATGACGGGAACCGCTGGGTTGCCGGCGATTTCATTCGGACCACCAACAAACAGTCAACGTCCATTGAAGTAAGCGATTGTCCCCACCCTGTTTCTTCCCTGTCTTCTTCCCGGTATTCCCCTGTTTCCAATCAGTGAAGATGGTAGGGAGATTTCCGTCAGTGGAGAGAAGCCAGATCAGGAAATGTCGATGATGGGGAAGGTAGCGTTGAAGAAAAATGTGAGAATTGTGGGGTTTAGAAAGATTTTCCAAAATCCCCGATGGTGTTGCTTTGGATCGGATCATCATGGCGAAGTTTCTCAAGATGAATCATTCTTGAAGCTTGTGACGTGTGAAGCCACAGTTGGTGAAAGCGACCTGCAAGGACAAGAAGGAAGAGGAAGTTGGCGAATGGGTGAATGACATGTGAGGATTGAGGAATCCAAATTGGCATATCACATGAAGTGTATTTTTTATGTGCACTCAGATGTATAAGGAATCCTAAAATAAAATAAATCTTTATTTATACTTACAAGTAATAAATTTTAAACAAAAACATATCATTTAAAATTTAATTTTTTTCCTATAAAAAAATTAATTTTATGTGGAGATCAAACATTTGAATAGGCTAACAAATTCTAAAATAATTTGTATGAAAAAAACACAAATAGTTGTTTATTTTTTTATATGCAATGGAATAACATATTTTTATATGCATGGGGTAAATTAATGTTTTAAAAACTGAAACGGTAGATTGAAAAAATTAGTGGGTCACAGTTCTTATTATTTAACAAAATGTTTTACAATTTAAAAGAAATAAGTTCTAAAATAAGATATATGTTATAGATTTTTAATTTTCTTGGGCATTACAATTTATAATATTTTATAATTTAAAATAAACTGCACACCAGGTTGAGTATTGAGCAGGGGTGATACCATGCCCGACCATACCTATATGCAATCCTAATTTATATATTAAATTAATTTTTATTATATTTGATTATAAATGGAATAACAAATTTTAAAATAAATATATTATTTTTTTATCTTCTAATCACAAATATGTTGGAAACAGTATATAAATAGTATATATAATTACATATGCAAATTTATTTCTTTTTTGACATTATCTTATACAATTCTATTTCAAAATCGATATCCAATTTTCTTAACAATGATGAACCATCATAAAATGTGTTAATTTCTCCGAAATCTTTAAATTATTTCTTTTCGCATGAAGTTTTCTTGAGAAATGATTATATTGCTCATCTAAAAAAAACTCCACCATTGCCTATTCCCGAAGCTTCGATGACGGCCGACCGAAGCTTAGACGATAATGGACAATGCGTCCCTAAAAGTTTAAACTAAATAATTATAATAGTTAAAGCACAGACTATTTTATTTCAGCGAATGACAACAAACCACTTAACCAGTGATAATTAATTATCATATCTATTATATCAATCTACAAGGTTTTTAATTCTTATAGCTGAATGCCTATGAAGGTTAAGTCAAAAACAACTTTCTTTTACCAAATGACAAAACGCTTAACCAATGACAATTAAGTTTTTCAAATTTATTTTATTAATTAAAAAGTTTATAAATCCTTGAAGCTAAATTACTATAATTGTTAAGATAATAACTACTTTGTTATTTTTCAAAAATTAAAGCAAACCAAACAATTTTAACTATAGTATTGTAAAATATTAACATTTTTAACCAAATAATTTTCAAGAATTTCAAGTAAATGCTATCAGGAGAAAAATACTGGGCATAAAAAGACTAGCCAAGCCCATTTTTAAAAGACTCAGTGGCCAAACCTAGCATGCAAAAACAAAAAAAAAATAAAAAACAAAATTCCTTCATTCATTGCTAAAAGGTCAATTTAACGTGGAATTGCAATTTAATTGCCTAGTATAATATTAGCAAGGGGCATCATGAAAATGACAAATTAGCCAAGCACTTAGCAAGAAATAATTTTGATGTCTCTAAAAATTACATTTAGCAAAGAAAATTAGCAAGAGATTTTCTTCGCTCTCTAAAATGATACATTAGCAATGAATTAGGGAGAGACAAGATCCTTCTCTAACATCAGCGAGGGATTAAAAAGGGAGTTTTTATTAAATACCACAAGATTCATTGTGAATTGATCTTGTAGTATTTAAACGTGATGAGAGACCTCAAAGTAATTTTCCCTTATCTACTCAACATCTTCATGGCTTCCGATTGTAACTTGTAACCCTCGATGGACTCAAAGCAGCTTCTCATGTTTACATTGCAATCTTGCTATCTTCTTCTGAGTGCTTTTTGAGATCTTAGTGAATAATTCCTTCTTGTTGACCTGCGATTGATGAGTAAATTGGAAACTTATATTTATTGTAAGATCAGGGTAGGATAAAGAATAGAAATCTGGATGAAGTTGAAATAAAATTCAGAGAAAAAAAAAAATTCAGTGTATATATAATTAAAGAGAATAGATAATGCAGTTAGAGAATTGAAAATTTTTCACTGAATTGAATTTTCTTCCAAAGTTCAATATGCTGAATTAAAGTACTCACGCTAAGGTGAATCCAACTAATTGATTGAAAAATTATGATTGAAAAATTAATTGAAAAATTATGATACTACGCTTCGAAATATTTATTTAAAAGGATTCCTGTTGTCTACTTGAAAAGTTATCTGTTCCTCCTTAATTATTTGACACAACCAAACTGAAAAATAATATGGTTCTACAATTATTGAAGAAAACAAGTTTGCCTATAATTTGCTATCAAGCCCTCTAGTGTCTGCATATGTAACAAGACGAGTGTAGCTTCTAAAAATATATATGTTCATTCATCCTCTTTTTTTTTTTTTAATGATTGGACAACTTTTATTGGAAAAAACATAAAATTATACATCATATCATAGAACCCACTCTACTTGGATTCGATTTATAAAGGACCGAAAAATAATGGCATCTCGAATGACACCATTATGTCTAGAGAAATTAGAAATAATATACTCTATCTATACCATAATATAAGTCATTATTAACTAACTCACACTTAAAAAAAAAAAGTTGGTTAACATCTTAATTTTTTAAAAATATTCACATATTTTCATTTATGCCGTTGAGTGGAATATTTAAACTTCTCCATGAATTACATTAAAGACAAGGAATAAAAAATAAAGTAAGGGTATAAATATTAAAAAAAATAAAATTTACCCAATATCTTATATTTTAAATCAAGAAATATTTCTAAAAAACGATTTATATTATAATCTGGAGAGAATAGTTAATATCGTGATTAAGGATACAGATGGGAACCGATCCAAGAGAAACTTGCTTAACTTTAGCACTTGACTCATTCATCTTATATATGCATATATGTATAATGGCATTATGCAATCCATGCAACCAACCACAACACTTGATGAGATATAGACTTGTTAGGAAATGGACTCTGAAGCTGGGAATCCATAAATTTCATAAAGTTGAGAATCCTTGTACTGTTATATACCATGCATCGCATCAGATCATCAGATACCCATGAAACACAGGATGTTTTCTAGTTTTTCATAAAAAATTGTAAACATTCTCGAGTCACGAATTAGTGATGAAGAAATAATTAATTTCCTTTTTCCAGCTAACAATTAACTTTATGGTGAAAATAGTTGTCTAGCGTTGAATTGAAAAGCTTGAAAGAGATCGAACTTACTCAATTTCTGGATATTTTCTTTTTCCTTTCTCATTAGCAATGCCATTGTTACGTTCTCTTATCTCCCTGAATAGCGGGAACAAAAAAGAAAGCAAGCTAACGTTGTTAGGAGATGTTAGGTCTTGCTTTCAAAAATGATTCTTGACATATTAAAAATATATGAATAATATAAATACACCAAAAAAAATTAAATGGATATAAATAACTACAGGCAATTAAATCATCTGTAAATAATATCATCATCTTTGGCTTTATTTTTATAATAGTGCAAGGCCTTGTGCATTTACACGAGCCAAAATGAGCCACTAATTAGGCTTGTAAACAATACTTTCTTTTCCTTTTTTTTTTCCCTTAAATAAGCTAAGAGTGAATAATGATTTCTACTACTTGTATAGATATATTGATTCTTTTATATCTATCAAATAAAAATTTAGATAAGTTAAGTTTTAGAGACTCAATAGAGTCAAAGCATGTCTCTAGGCTCAAAAAATACTTACAAAAGTATTTACAAATTATTTATTAATAAGGTTTTCATATCAATAATAAGATTTGGTCTCACAACTTTGTAAGTTATGAATCAAATCTTTACTAATTGAAACAATCTTAGTTCGCATAGATATATTGATTTTTTTTAATGATGATAGATATATTGATTCTAATTAGACTATGAGCCCAAGCTATTATATATAGATACATTAGGGTAACTTTGACCTCATATTTCCAGTCCTATATTTTATATACAGTTCGGTCTCTTTTTTCATCTAGTCCTTGCCTTTGCAATTTTTCTAGTAAAAAAATTCAAAATAGTAAAATCCTCAAGTCACCAGACAAAATAGTTATTCAGATTAGCTAGCTAAATAATTTCATTTTTTAGATAACAATTAATTAATTTCATGGAGACTAGTATAATTGTCCGGGGTTTTGTTTTTGTTTTTGTTTTTTTTTTTTTTTTGGGGCCAAAGTCCAGGGTTGAATTGAAAAAAAGCTCGGGCAGAGAACTTACTGGATTTCTTGATATCTTCCTTCTCCTTTCCTTTTAGTAACGCTATTACTACTCTCTCCCCTCTCCCTGCAATAACAAATAAAACAAATATATTAATAGTACTATTACTCGGAAAAAAAAAAGGAGTGAATAAAAAAAAAGAATGTGAATGTGTCATCTTCACTCCTCTTTTTTTTTTTTGGATAGATGTCATCGTTACCTTTATTTCCATACTAGTACGGTAAGACCATGTTTTTGTAATGGTTAAAATGAGTCAAATTTTAAGCTTGTGAAGAATGTTTTGTTTCTCTCTCTGTTTTTTTTACCCTTTCTTTGTAATTTAAGAATGAAAAATGCTTTCCACAACTTGTATATAGGTTCTAACAAGACCAAGTTAAAACCAAGTTAAAAACTAAAGGAGTCAAATAATTAATTTTTAACTTTCCACAACTTGTATAGATAATTGGTTCTGACAAGACTGAGTTACAATCAAGTTAAAATTAAAGGAGTCAAATAATTAATTTTTTTTTAATTTAATTAATGAACAGAGTATTTAGTACCGACCAAAAAATGACATGAAAAGGCAAAATGGGTTATTAAGCACCTTAAGCACAAATTTCAGGGACAGTAGTATAGGCGTCAACGGTTAATTAGAAAAGCTTGGCAAGAGAAGAAAACAAAGCACAAATGACAAGTAAAGACCCCATAAGACAATTAATACCAAATTAGGATCTCTTCACAATTAAAGTTCCCAAATTCAGAACTCTTGTCTATTATGCTTCAGCGCTAGACATTAATCTTTAAAAATTCTGATTTGACAATAATCTTATCATGAGATCCTTAATTGTCATTCTCCCAAAAACAAATAATAGAAGTTAACTTTGGATAACAAATTAAAGTGAGAAGCATTTGACAATAATACCAGTCATTATGGGAGGCATGTCCAGAGGGTGATGGTGCTCTATCTTCCGACCATTTATCAAAATCATGTTTACTTGCCAGGCGCCACCGACATCCCATTATCGCCACATCATGGAGATTCCTAGCAGTGTTGGTTGTTAGAACAGAAAGAGTGAAATTGAGATGTGGTTGACAATGTTTAAAAGGGTAAAATCCTACATAGACTCCCCAATCATCATCCGTCTTCAGCATTCCATGCATTTTAGTTTTATTGGCATGGCAATGGTCTTGGAACTTCCAAACTATGTAACTTTGGATCTTTAGAATCTGCAATTGAGATAAGGATTTAAGAAAAAGGCATATAGCCACTCCCATGCATTCTTCATTAGAATCTGCAGCCTCGTTTTGAGTTATGTCCGCTGTTATGCTTAGAAATTCACCTAACGGATCCTTGCCCCAATAGTATTCCAAACATTCGAACCATTGAAAGTTTCTGGCCCCTGCTCTCAAGTCGCCAAAAATGTGAATGGGACCCTGTAGATCCCCAGGACGCTGGCAAACAAGTTAGATTAATTTAGAACATTGCCAATTGCGCCAAAAGAGTTATCTTTTGCATTAAAAAATCATTAAGAATGGCGACAGACCACCCAAAAACGGGGGGAGCAACAAATGAACCAGAACAACATAATAACATCACATCTGAACTCAATCTCAAACCTTGAATCTGTAAGTCTTTCCACATTATATATTAGTTATTAAACCCAACTCTATACAATATGTAACTTCCTAAATCAACTCATGTTCACACACTTGGACATCCTAAAAATAATAATAATAAATCTATCCACAGCAGTGTTGTTAAAGGTGAAAGGAACAAAGCCTTAGGCGCAAGGCACTAAATAGGAGCATGCCTGAGTGAAGCAAGGCGCTATCATATGAAATTGCATAAGGTATAGACAACAAATCAACGATAAAATGATATGTGTAAATTTACTTAGCCTTCATATAAATGCTTTAAAAAAGTGTGTTATACCTCTATAATGCATTGTATTTACAGTCGGACTTTTTTCACTTTTTTTTTTTGTCAATCTGACTGTTCACTTTTCTTAAATTTTTTTGGGGGACTGTCGTACCATCCGACTTTTTGACTTTTTTTATTTTGATTTGTTATTTTTTTAATATGATACATTAAAAAAGGTACAAAATAATATGAGCCTTATAGTAAAAGAAGTACATGTGGAACCTAAAAAAATAAATTATTAATATGAAACTTATAATTAAAAATGAGTAAAATATTTTGTCTATTTTTATCTTAATTAATGATACATCTCTTTTGTTTTTTGAAATATATATGAGCATTTATTAGTGTGAATAATTATAAAATACAAGCTTTTCTTCTATTTTTAAGATTTTATTTTCATTGATATAATCATTAGTTGACTATTAAGTTATGTATGTTAGACCAAAATACCCCTATTTAAATATAAATATTTCTTGAAAATAATTTAAATGATGAAAAAAATTATTTTATTATTATTTAAATTTATTTATTTTGTAACTTTTTAAAAAATTAAATATATAGATTAGCCAAAAAAAATGCAAAGGCAGGGGTCTACATTTATAAATGTGAGTGGGACCTCTAATTTAATTAATAAAATTTATTTATGAGAGATGAAAACCATTTTCCATACAAATTTTCATTTATAAATGTTAAAATTTTAGATAAGATGTCATTCTAGTATATGTTTTATTTTCCTTAAGGTGTTATATTGGGCAACACATTTTGAAAAAGAACAAGCTAGATCATATTTCAAATTGCAGTAGGCGATAAATGTTAAAAAACAATTACTCCTTCCGTTCAAAAATATAAGGCATTTTTTGAGGAATTAAATGTTAAAAAATATAAGGCATTTTTAGTCTTTTAAAATGTAATCATTACTTTTTTTTTCAAAAGTGCCCCTATTAATAATAACTTTATATTTATTATAGAGTGTTTAATAAAAGTAAATATGAAAAGATAAAGTTAATTTGAAAGAAGATAACTGTTTTATTGAGAGTGAAATTTAATTAAAAAAGCCTTATATTTTTTTAACGAAGGAAGTATATTTTTTATTATGTATAAAAGTAACTCATTGCAAAATAAAAATTGTTCGTTATAAGTATCATCCTATTTTTTTTTCTTAATTAATGATACATCTCTTTTGTTTTTTGAAATTCATATGAACATTTCTTAGCTTGAATAGTTATAAAATATAAGCTTTTCTTCTATTTTTAAAATTTTATTTTTATTCATCTAATCATTAGTTGACTATTAAGTCATGTATATTGAACCAAAATACCCTTATTTAAATATAAATATTGCCTAAAAATAATTTAGATGATCAAAAAATCATTTAAGTGTATTTATTTTGTAACTTTTTAAAAAGTTAAATATATAAATTAGCCAAAAAAATATGCAAAGACAAGGGCCTACATTTATAAATGTGAGTGGGACCTATAATTTAATTAATAAAATTTATTTATGCAGGATGAAAAAAATTGCCATATAAATTTCATTTGCAAATGTTAAAATTTTAGATAAGATGTACAAAATAATAGAGTTTTTATATTTTAAAAGATCATATAGGATTTATAATAAAAATTAGAGGCGGATATAAGATTTTTACTAATAAAGAGAAAATAAAATAAAAATAATTTTAAATAATTTGAAGTAGTTAAATTAAATCAATCTAAATAAATTTAAAAGTTAGAGATGTCAAGAGTCGGGCTCGACTATAATTTTTTTTAGATAATTTAAATTTAATATGCATTGAGGCTCTAAAAAAATGGAGATAATGTTAAATTTTAACAAACTTAATTTTTAAACAATTGGGTAGTGTGTTATAGAAAAGTACGTCAGACTTACCATTAAAAAATGTGAGTGGGACCTCTGATTTAATTAATAAAATTTATTTATGTGAGATGAAAACCATTTGCCAAACAAATTTTCATTTATAAATGTTAAAATTTTAGATAAGACATCATTATAGTATATGTTTTATCTTTCTTAAAGTGTTACATTGGGCAATGCATTTTGAAAAAGAACAAGCTAGATTATATTTCAAATTGCAACAGGTGATAAATGTTAAAAACAATTATATTTTTTATTATGTGTAAAAGTAACTCATTACAAAATAGAAGTTGTTCCTTATAAGTATCATCCTATTAAAATTTTAGTCTCATACTTACCAGCTATGGGGATACTTTAGGAAAAAAAGAAGAAGAAATTGTTCATTAAATTTTAACTTATATTAGATAATACATTTTAAAATTAAATAAATTATGATTTATATTTTTAATATATATGGACAAAAAAATTTAAAATAAAATATTCTTTAGATTTTAATTTTCACAAATTAATACATTATGGAGTAAAATACATCAGAATTCCTCTTGTTTTGTTAGAATTATAAAGACTTCTTCTTTATTTTAAAAAATTATACTTTAGCTTTATTTTCAATATGATTAGGAATATTATGTTAAATATTCTAAAATATTTGATTTATTATTTGTATTTATGTTGAAAAAATTTAAATTATTAATTTACCCCTATAATCTATTTTTCTATCCTCTTGCTTCCTAATTTAAGGAATTTCAAACAATTTTAGGCAAAAAAAAAATTTTAACAATTAATTATGTCTATAATTTAAAAATATTTTATCAAAATTATAAAATTTAAATAAACATAAAACATAAATTATATTGATTAATTTCTCTCTTATTCCATTAAGCTTTTTTCTGCACATACGTGTTTGAAATATTATTTTCATAAACTTACTCCCCTAGTTAAAATATGTAAGTCATTTTTAAAGTTATTTCTTAGGGGTTGGATGTTAAAAAATATAAGGCATTTTAGTGTAATCATTTTTTCAAAAGTGTCCATAATAAATAAATTATTTTATATTTATTTTAGAGTAAAATACCCAATTAAATAGTAAATATGAAAAGATAGTGTTATTTTAAAAATAAGTACTCCTTCTAATCCTATTTAGAAGGAAAAAAGAGAAAATTTTTTTGATCCTATTTATAAGTCACATTGTTAAATTTTCATTATAAATTTCCTCTTTTACCTTCCATTGAATATTGGAGAGAGAAAATATGTTATTAAAATATATAATTAATAGAAGCAAAGCTAAAAACTTATTAAATTTTAAGATAGAATTAATGAGTTTTAATATTTTTTTTAGTATTAGTAAAACATGTTGGAAATGACTTATGAATAGGACTAGAGGAATAATTATTTTGTTGAGTGTGAGGTTTGGTTAAAATTACCTTGCATTTTTAAAAAGATGGAGTATGTATTTAATTTTTTAAAAAACACTAAATAAATTAGTTTGTATGACTAATAAATTTAAAATATGAATAAAAATTTAAAAGAATGTATTAATAATGGTATTTTAGTCTAACATATGTGACTTAACTATCAACTAATGATTTGATAGATGAAAATAAAAACTTAAATGTAGAAAGCATATTTGTATTTTATAACTCTTAACTATTAATTTTAAGAGGGATTCATATAGATTTTAAAAATAAAAAAACTTTATAATTAAGATAAAATAAAGGGAAAAGTAATATATTTTACTTTAAAGATATTAAAATATTTTTTAATAGGGTTAATTGGGGATTTAAACCCTCAACTATAGATTTAAAGATGATTTGAACTCTAAATTTTTTAAAATGCATATTTTGAACTCTAAACAATTGAAGTTAAAATAATTTTACCACATCATTAAATTTAAACAAACATCCATCAATTTTTTAAAATTGAAATCTAATGTATAATTTTTATTAAATTCTACAATCACTCTCTCTTACCTATGCATCGCATGGAATAAAAATCTAGTTATGAATAAACACTCAAGGAAGTTGCAACCAGAAGCCAAAAAGTGCTCACCTTTTTAGCTTGAGAAAGGCACCTGGCGAGCACCTTAGTGGACCCATCGCCTCTATTCACACGAGAGGCGATGAGTCTGTTCTGCGCCTCGCCTGGCGTCTAAGGTGCAAAGGCAAGTGCCTTTAACAACACTGTTCACAATGAAAAATAGTTTGAGAAACAAAGAAAGAGATAAGGATATATGACTACCTTTGGAACGGCGACACATGGAGATTAAGCTGAGCTATTGCGTCTTTCAGCATTTGAGAGTTGCTTGCACATACAATTAAATCAGGAGGAAGATCAACAGGGAGGGACTTAAGTTGGTCGCAGTTCCACAAGTCTAAAATCTTGAGATTTTTTAAATTTTTGATGGTTGAAGGAATTTTTGTGATGCCAGTGTCGCTCACATTAAAGAAGCACAGACTTCCCATCTCTTCACCAAACTCGGGCAGCTTCTCAAGCCCCATGCATCCCATTAGAATGAACTCTTGTAGACTATTCGTTTCCAATTTAGCGGGGAGCTTTACAAGACTTTTACACTCTTTCAAACTCAACTTAACCAGCTTTTTCAGCTGTCCCAAAGATTCATCAACCTGAGTCAATGTTCTGCAACCATTAAGTAACAACTCTTCAAGGTTTGGTGTTCCACTGAAATCTGGGGTTCCAGTTAGACATTCAGAACCACTCATATCAATGATCCTCAGCATATTTAAAACCTGATCCACAAATAGGAAATAGCAAGCAGAATCAGTCAGTATTTTCAAAGTGAAGTGGCAGGATATATATGACAACATTTATGCGTGTATTATTCAAGATTGTCGAAGAAAAACAAACCGATTTTTTTCCCTATAGTATATTGATTTTGCTATTGCACAATTGAAGGCTTTCAAGGTTACATAATCTTTCAATTGACGGTAGGCAATCCTCAGCATAATCATCCCATCTCAGAAATTTCAATGCAGTTGGAAGAGACTCGAGCTTTCTCAAAAAACGTACCTTACTCAAGTCCAGCAATCTAAGATTTATCATTTTTGAAAAGCAGTTAGGGTCCCAATCGGCTCTAAAACCTTCTTGCGTCTCTATAACTATACTTTGAATGTGGTCCGTTCCCTAATGTACATGCACAAAGATTAAACATGATGAAAGATAAAATGATATCAAGCAAATAATGCAATATATAAAATAACTTCAGCACACTCAACCGAAAAAAATAAATAAATAAATAAATAAATAAATATATATATATACCATGTTTTCTTTCAAAACAAGATCGATATCCTCTAACGACCACAATCTGCTGCGTCTACCAGCATGAATGGGAGATTCTTGAAAGACAATGCTCCTTCCCATCTCTTGAAGCAAATCATGCATGTACAGGTATTCTTTTGAAGCCTCTTCTTCCGACACCTTGATAGGCATTCTTCCATTTCAGTGTTTTTCACTACTTTCATCTTTTGAAGGCCATCATACACGTTCTGACGTTCTCTTGATTCCAAATTTAATTGGGAGGAACTTAGCAATGATTTTTCAATAAGAACTTTAATTCCAACTATTTCATCAAGACCACATGTTTTCAACATATTTGTCACCTTAAATTTGGCCTCCCTGTTAAAGAAACAAGCAATATCCAAAAATATTGTCTTGTACTTTTCTTGCAATTCATCATAACTAATGCGAAGTTGGCTTAAAATATCTTGATCTAAATTTTGCCTTAACCTGTTTATTGTGCATCTCCATTCATATTTTTCTCTTCTACAAAGAAATGATCCCAAGACTTCAAGTGCCATAGGTAGTCCACCAGCATATCCAACTACTTTGTCTGATAGATTTGAAAAACCTTCTTCTGGCTGGTCCTTCTTGAATGCTTTCTGGCACAAGAGCTTGAGGGATTCATCATGATATAACATGTCAACTTTATACTCACCAAAATGTTCATATTGTGTCAGCAAGTGTTTATCTCTGGTAGTTATTATTATTTTGCTTCCGTCACCAAACCACTCCTTATTTCTAACCAAATTGTCTAGTTGACTTCTATGGCTCACATCGTCAAAAACAATAAGAACTTTCTTATTTGATAAAAAAGTTCTTAATTTCTCTGCTCCATCAAAGGAATCTTTAATTATATTTGGTTCTAGTTTAAGAAGATAAGAAAGAAGCTTCTTTTGTAAGTGAACTAAGCCAAATTTCTTTGAATCCTCCCTTATATTGGCAAGAAAACAGCAAGAGTCAAAGTTCTCTTTATTGATAGCCTCGTAAACAACTCGGCCCAGAGTTGTTTTGCCTGCACCGCCCATGCCCCATATTCCTATGAAGCATTTATCATCCAGTCCTATCCCTAGAAGGGAGATTATCCTTTCTACTTTTGACTGAATGTCCCCAACTAAATACTCAAAATTAGGTGGCAGTTGATCACATAATTTGTTCCATATGTGTGAGGCAATTTCTTCAACTAGTTTTGCTTCATGTCTGTGGACATCGAATTAAAAAAAATATATATATTCAGAGACCAAAGTTCTATTTTTCCAAATATTTTTTTTCCGAATAAAAGGATTACAGAACCGAAAAGTGAGAGTAATATCAAATATAATGGAAATACTCTAACTTCTTTTATGATCAAGAATCTCATCTATAATTTGAAAAAATAAATCCAAATCTTGTGTTTAGTATGTGAACGTAACGTAAAAGATAAAATAATTAGTAGGGATCAAAATCTTACATATCTTTAGTGATCTAACCAGAGAATTCAGCAACCTTAGATAAAGCTTGATGCCATCGTCTTTTTTTTCCACTTGAATTTTTTCCTTTAAGCTTAGCGAAAGCTTGGGCAACATTTCCTCGTTGACGTCCAATATCACCAGGTTGTACATCATAAAAAACTGGGAAAACTTTTTGCTCTTGTTTGGTTTCCACGATCTCCTGCAATTCATTCAAACACCATGGGGAAGAAGCAAATTCCTGAGAGAGGACAATAATGAAATACCGAGATTGCCGAATAGCTTCGCGGAGTTTCTTTGAAATAGCTTCTCCTTTCTCAATTTCTTCATCGTCTCTGAAAGTTACAATACCTTTCCGCACCAACGCAGCATATAAATGATCGGTAAAAGTTTTGCGAGAATCTGGCCCTCTAAAGCTCAGGAAAACGTGATAATGCATCGGCTGAGTTGGATGAGTAGATGAAGTGATGAACCAGAAGAAGGGCTCTTGGGGAAAAATTGATAGAAGGCAATGTTTTGGGTCGAAAACTCTCAATAATGGAATCCTCTTGGCGGACTGTGATTAAGATTTTGGGGGCAATAGCACTAACGCTTTAAAAAAGCAAAAATTACACTGCAGGCCTATTCTTGTTGCAATTTTTCCGAGCGAAAGCGCAATTTTGCTCATATGTGGTTTAAAAACTCAAATCATACACAATATAATATTCATTAATATATAACATAATGTCAATAGATACACAATACAATATCTATATGTGTTTAATTGGTTAGTAGGTATAAATAAAGCAGAGAATATATAATATTCATGGATGTATAATATAATATTTATGTATTCTCAATTAAATGTCCATACAGTGACTCACATGAATATTTTATTTAGAATTCATAAATATCATATTATGCATATATAGATATCATATTATATATTCATGAATATCATTTTATATATGATTTTTGTGATGTATATTTCAATCTGCAAATCAACTGGACAAGTATAAATATCATGTTATATATTTATGAAGTTCGTGTTGTACATTCATAAATATTAAGTTGTATATGATTTGAGTTTTCAAATCATATAAGGACAAAATTGTATTTTCACTTTTAAAAAAAATTACAACAAAAGCTTTTGGACCTGTAGCGTAATAACATAATCTATTGGACCTGTAGTGTAATTTTTTACTTTTTAAGACTCTTAATGTAATTTTTCCCAAGATCTTTCATAGGGCACGAGTACAGCAGCACACCGTACCCTTTGTCGTCTTTTGGTCAAGTCAACCTTGGATAGTTGGATTCCACTCCTAAAATGAAATATTTTTTCTCAAGAAACGCGTGCGCTCTCACAATTCACGAGAAAGTGTACGAACTTCATCCAAATAAACATGTTCATGAAAATAAGGATATAACTATTTTTATGAGTATATGAAGTTTGATTAGAAATCTCTTACCACTTGGATGAGAGAACATTTAAAAAGGATTTGATAAATAAAATAATAGAAATAATTTTAAAAAATAATAATAATAAATTTTTTTAAAATATATAAATAATAATTTAATCTATCAAAATGTTATAATTTTTTTAAAATTTTTAAACTCTTTTTTATTATTAATAAATTTATATAAATTATTAAATTATTCTTATTAAAAATAAATAATTTATAAATTTTGTTTAAATATTTATAATTTTTTTTATATTCATAATAATATAATAGTAAATTATAACTTCGCTTGTTGAATTCTTTATCTGTTATTATATTGTTGTAAATATAAAAAAAAATTGTAAATATTTAAACAAAACTTATAAATTATTTATTTTTAATAAAAGTAATTTAATAATTTATAAAAATTTATTAATAATAAAAAAATTTTAAAAATTTTAAAAAATATGATATTTTATGAAATTAAATTATTATTTATATATTTTAAAGAGATTTTATTATTATTTTTTTAATTTTAAAAATAAAAAAAGTATTATATTTTTTTTTCAGCTGCCAAATTTGTCCTTGGTCAAAGTCATCAACTAGAAACCTAAACCCACTTGATTAAGGGCGGGCCGGCGGGTCCCTCACATTTTTTAATGGAAGTCTCAATCTGAATTCCCAACTAACCTTCTTTACATTGTTCACCTGCCCGTCTCTTCATCTTTTTTCTGGAATCTAAAGTCGATTTCTCATTTGTGTGTCTGAGTCTGAGAGAGGCAGGTAATTGTTAGACTAATTTGGCAGTTTCCAGGAAGCCTGTGAAGAAGCTCAAGTGGGAGAACCCCGAAAAGTCAGTGAAAACTCGGACAATGAAGAACGGATTTAAATAAAAGAAAACTATTATTATCGGATTCAAAGGTATATTTGTTCTTAAATTAATTTTCAATGAGCATTTAATATTTTAAACTAATAAACAGTGCAATTAAAGCTGATAATTCAAATAGGCCAAGATTATTAGAGTCAGCTCAATTCAAATTGAACTTATTTAAATCAAACTTAAAGTATCATATTTTTTTTAAAAAGCTCATATAGTTAAATCTAATCCTAACACCTTTAGGCTTTGAGTTTATTCAGGCTGACCTAAATATTCAGAACTTTTTAAAAATATTTTATCTATATATTTTGAACCAATTTTAATTTTTCAATAATTCTATTAAGTATAAAATATTATTTTAACTTTAAAAGAATAAAATAAAAAATAATAACTTATCAACTTTGTACTTGAGTAGTTCTATTATTGTTTTATTATATTATGTGTAATTTATTCATGAATCTTTCCTTTACTTATAAATTAATGTTTTAGTTATTTAAATATTGCTTTAATTAAATTATATATTTTTAACTATAATCAAGTTAATCTCAATTCAATCACAATTATACTACTAACTTAAAATCATTGTCTTAATTAATTTAAAGTTTTTTAATAACTTTTCGGTAAACTGTACTTTTTATTTTTAAAAATATAAAAAAATAGCCATGATTATATTATATAAAAAATTATTTAATTATTCAAAGCTTATCTCTCTTCAATCTGGAGTAACAGTGATTAGGAGTCTGCAAAAGAAGAAGAAGCAAATATGTGTCTAATGGTTAAAAGCCATTTTGATTAGGTATCAAGGAGAGTCACAAATAAAAAGTGGTATCTAGACAGTGGCTGCTCCAAGCATATGAGTGATGATAGCTTTATGTTTCTATATATGGTAGAAACCAAATATTATGGAATTGTCACCTTTGGAAACAATGAGAAGGAAAAATTCTTGGTATAGCTAAGGTTTGTAAGAATATATCCAACTTTCCTTGTATTGATAATGTTTATTTAGTTGATGGCTTAAGACATAAACTCTTGAGCATAAGTCAATTATGTGACAAGGGTTATGAGGTTATTTTTAATGCTATGTTACATTGTGAGAGATCAAACAGGAATAGCCATCTTAGTAAGAAAGAGAGTTCAGAATATATATTCAATAAATCATTGTGATGATGACTCACTGAACACAAAATTCTCATCCTTGTGAATGATAAAAGTTGGCTGTGGCATAAAAGATTAGCCCATGTCAACATGAAGCAATTAGACAAACTTGTATAGAAGGAACTCATTATTGGGCTGCCAAAGATAAAATTTAAAGCTGACAAGTTATGTGATGCTTATTTGGAAAGCAAAAAAACCAAGACTACATTTTAAAGAAAAAATGTAATATCCACATTAAGGCCTCTCAAATTGCTTCATATGGATCTAATCTATCCTTCAAGGGTAAAAAGTCTAGGGATAATCTCTACACTTTTGTTATAGTTGATGATTATTCTAGGTTTACATGGACTATCTTCATGTCTCACAAGGATCAAACCTTTAAATATTTTATGACATTTGTAGCCAAAGTACAAAGTGAAAAAGGTTTAAAAATTGTAAAGATAAGAAATGACTATGGTGGAGACTTTGACAATTTCAACTTCATTGAGTTTTATGAAGAATAGAGAATTAGTCATGAATACTTAACTCCTAGAACACCTCAACAAAATAGAGTTGTGGAGAGAAAGAATAGAACCTTAGAAGAAATGACAAGGACCATACTAAATGAGAAGAAACTTCCTCAATATTTCTGGGTGGATGCCATGAGTACAGCATGCTACATCACTAACAAAGTACATATTCGACCTATTTTAAACAAAACTCCTTATGAGCTCTATAAGGGAAGAAAGCCTAATATCTCTCATCTGCATGTATTCGGCTGTAAATTTTTTATACTCAACAATGGTAAGGATAATCTAGATAAGTTTGATTTTAAAAGTGATGAAGCTATATTTCTTAGTTATTCAAATAAAAGTAAAGCTTTTAGAGTCTTTAACAAAAGAACCTTGTCTATTGAGGAGTCAATTCATGTTAGATTTGATGAATCCTTATCAAATGAGAACAAAGAAGAAACTGTAAATCTTCCTCTTAATGATCTCTCATTGAAAGAAAAGGAGGAAAATCAAACCAACAATGATACCATGACTAATAATCAAAGTGGAGAGACAAAGAATCTTCTAAAAGGTTAGAGATATAGCAAGTCACATCCCATTAATCAAGTCATTGGAGAAGTTGGTGATAGAGTTAAAACTAGAGATTCACTTAGAGAAGTATGCCATTTCAGTGCAATTCTTTGTAATATTGAACCCTTTGACATTAAAGAAGCCTTAACTGATGAATATTAGCTCATAGCAATGCAAGAAGAGTTAAATCAGTTTGAGAGAAGTCAAGTTTGAGACTTAGTACCAAGACTAAGTGATCATCCTATTATTGGGATAAAATGGGTCTTTAAAAACAAACTTGATAAAACTGGTATTGTGGTAAGGAATAAGGCCAGGCTAGAAGCTAAAGGTTATAATCAAGAAGAAGGTATTGATTATGATAAAACCTTTGCTTCTGTTGCTAGACTTGAGGCTATTAAACTTTTACTTGTTTTTACTTGCATTAAAGATTTTAAATTTTATCAAATGGATGTTAAAAGTGTATTTTTGAATGGACTTATCAATGAAGAAGTTATATAGAGCAACCTCTAGGATTTAAGGATCCATTAATGCTAAATCATGCCTACAAATTGAAGAAAGCATTGTATGGATTGAAGCAAGCACCAAGAGCTTGGTATGACAAGTTAAGTACTTTTCTATTAAATAATAACTTCAAAAGAGGAACAGTAGATAAAACATTATTTTATTAAACTGAAGGTAATGACATCCTTTTAGTTCAAATTTATGTTGATGATATTATTTTTGGAGAATGAGGTTCTTTGTGAGAAATTTGCTAAGATTATGCAAGGTGAATTTCTTGAATTGAAAATTAAGCAAATAAGGGATAGGATCTTCATAAGCTAAATCAAGTACACTCATAAATTGCTAAAGAAGTTTTGATTCAAAAATTTAAATCCAAGCAACATACTTATGAGTGCATCAATCAAAATGGATAAGGATGAAAAAGGAAAGAAGGAGGATCAATCAAAATTTAGGCAAATGATTAGATCACTACTCTACTTGATTGCCAACAAACTTGATATCATGTTTAGTGTCTTTATGTATACAAGATTTCAAGCTAATCTAAGAGAATCACATTTAAAGGCTATGAAAAGAATCTTTAAGTATTTGAATGGAACTACATAGCTAGGACTTTGGTTTCTAAAAGAAGGAATGTTTGAATTGAT